GGTTCTGCATAAATACGGCATCTCCAGCTGTGTAATGATGTGGGGCAGACTTTGGTTCAGAGCTGTAGCTGTGGTGTTGCACTGATGTAACGATTGGATGGATTTCTTTGGAGCTCTGTTCTGAAGTAATTGTGTGTTTCCACAACAGAGGTTTTTACTTGTATTATTTTTCAGGGGTTTATTTTTTGTCATTGCTGATGTTCAGCAGAACACTGATGGAGTTTGGCTACGAACAGGTGGGTGCAGAGGTCTGCTGCAACTCAGTGACAGATTTAAATTCCAAATCTATCGTACTGAGTTAATGTTCTTTGCGCTATCAAATTTATTTATTAAGAAGGCCGGGAGCGCTGTGAAGGCTCTGGTGTGCAGGCAGTGGGATCAGAAAGGCTGCACAGATACCAACCTGCCTCAGGACCCAGCACTTCCTGCATGGCTGTTGTCCCCAAAGCCATGACAGAGACCATTCCCTGTCAGATTCCCAGTAGGGGATTCCCTGGCCCTGTAACTGGGTGATACCTGTCTTAAACTGCACTCACTTAGAACTTGACAGTATTTCAGCAGTAACATAGTGCATTTTCTGTAGTCTCCAGTTGCTAGAAGAGAATGAAGAGGTTCCTGCTTGGAGAATGACCGGTTGCCTTTTTTTCCCCTTGCCTTGAAATGCACTTTTTTTTGGGCAGCCAGGGCTCAGCTGTACTGAGATAAGGCAGTTTGGGCATCATCTTCTATTTATTTGTTTGCTTTGTTCAAGAAAGGAGACTTTCAGCTCTATCTGCTTAAGCATGGGCAGAATGAATGCGGTTTCACTGTTCATTGAGTCAGGCTGTAACTGGATTTCCTTCCTCATTGGAGCTAAAGAACTGACTGCTTCTAGAGAACATTTCAGCTGGTTATATGCATCTGCGTAGTGACACTGAGGGTCGAACCTGGCTTCTGGAGGAGCATAGGTACTGTTGTCAATTTAACACATAAGTAAGTCTGTTGTGTCTGCAAATAGTGTGAGTTAAGCTCTGGGTCACAAACCTCATGCAGACCTTCCCTGGCAGCAGCAGTGTCAGTAGTGTGGCTGTGGTATTTCACGTTTCTTCTTTCTTTTCCCTCTGCTCATTCTTCCTGTGTGGCTTTCATCTCTGCTGGTTCAGGTGCTACTTGGCCTTCAGTAAAACAACCCCTGTGCCAATAAAACAACCTGCTCAAAAACTGGCACTGTGCTTTGTGAGGTAGCGGCCACACACATAAGTTCTGTGTCCTTTTTTCCTTAATGTGTACTTACTGCTGAGGAACTAAGAAGCAGTTAAATTGAACTGAAAAGTTCCAGAAATGGAAGCTTAACTTTTGTTTTAAGCTTTGTATTTTAGCATCGTTACCAGAGCATTCGATAACAACTGCTTGTTGCTTTAATTGTGATCCTTTGGTTTATTTTATTCTTCTCAGCTAGTGAGTCTTGTTTCTTAATCAGTTTTGTTCATCAGGCTTATGCTTTGGCTTGCGACTTATCCTAGAGTGCATCTTCCAAAGTAGGAAAAGGTTGGTGTGGAAGGGATGGGTAGGATCTGCTGGGGAGGACAGAATCTGTCTGGAAAGGATTATTGGGGTTTTCCTCTTGAGGACAGAAAGCTCTGCAGTTCTCTCTCTGTAATTTGTCACAGCAGGTCTCTGCAGCGGAAGCCAACTCCTCATCTTGATTTTAGCACTGATTAACTGAAGAATGTTGAGAAAGTTATGCAAAATGGGGTCTCGTTTCACCTGCTGCTGTTCATAAGTAGCTCCTGTTCAGCAGTTCTCTTTGCTGTGCCCCTTGTTTTGCTGGAAGGCAGCCTTTGAGAGGTGCTAACATTAATGCCGTGTCCTGAGCGCTTTGCCTCGGCCCATTTACCTGCTGGTCTTCTTAGGGGATCACCTGTGCAGTGGAGGCATTTGGATTAATCCTATTGCAAACTGCTGATGGTATCGAACCAACACTAAGATTCTTTGTGGCACTTTGAATAACAAAACTGATGTCAAATCCTGGTACTGTTAAATCCTAAATGTCGGATTTTGAGCTGGGCACTGCATGATGGCTATCTCTATGCTACCGGGAGCCAGCTTTTGTGCGTAGTTCACTCTGAAGCTGCTGCAGAGAACAGCTATCTGCTGGAGCTGGCTTTCGCCCTGCACCTCCCCTTTTTCTCCTCATTGCACTCACAGCTGTTGTGGGAGTAAATAACGTGAAAGGAGATTCTGATTTCCTGATTTTGGGGTTAATTTTAGCCTAGAGGTGTTCACTGATGTTGGCTGGTCTCACAGATGGCTGGGCAGGAGGCAGTGTAACTTTTAAGCTGTTCAGAACTTCCTTAACTTTTTTTTTTTTTAAAACTTTTTAAAGTACCTGAGTTTGACAGCGGGCCCTTTCTGCCCCAAGGAGGATGATAGGAGGCTGTAGCAGGGTTGCAAGCATAAGCATCAAACTGCTGCTTATAGCTCTTGGTGCTGACACCTGCTTTTACCATTACAGAAACAGAATATTGTTCAGATGCAAACCACTTTGGGGATGAAGTTGTTCCCATTGCAGATCTACTTCTGAGTGTCTTCACTTCTGTCATTACTTTAAACGAGGGCATTCCTTGTAGCTAAAAATACTCTTGATTTTCCAACTCTGAGGCATCTTTGTTGTTCTCACCTGTATTAAGTGGGTTACTATTTTCAGGTTAGAGTAAATGTAAGATCTCCAACAATCGTAATGTAACCACTGAAGGGGGAAGGGAAGTTCCTGTCCGAGCCACTTTTCATCTCATACTTTCAGTACAGTGGCTAAAATCATCTCAAGGCTGCATTCACGTGCTCAGATGTGGAGCTGGTGCTTCCTGCAGCCTTCCCCATGTCCTGCACCAGTCTCAGAGATGCACTGGGTCTGGTGTGTTTGCAGTAGGATGCTTAGGAGCTGTTGGAGGTAAACTTTTTCAGATAGATTGGAGGAGAAGATTGATTTTAGTCAAATTTAACTTATGGTGCATCTTTTGCTATTAACACCCAGTTCACAGGTTAGACTTCAGTATTAAACTAATTTTACATTGTTGACAGGGCCTAGTTAGTGTATCCTGAGCAAAACATTGGCCGAGATTTACTAGGCTAGTGTTGATTTTTGATCTCTTGTTTCAGTACACCTTGAAATGCATGTTAACCACCTCAGGTCCATGGTTAATTAAGTCAAAGGATGGGTATACAGTAAAAGCACTTGACATTTTGTCAGGATACAGTTCTGTTAATAGAGATGTGAGTGTTTTCTGAAGTAGGAAATTTTTGATGTTGGGCTACTTAACCTCTGAGTGTGGCAAACCTTCTTGGTGGCAGTGCTTCGCCTTTGGTTGCCATATCACACTCAGGAATTTGGTCTGGTTGCCTGGGGCTCCAGAAGGGATGCCCTGCTTGCTCCTTGGCCTCGTGCAGTGTCTGCAGCTGAGCCGTCCGCTTCCCCAGGCGCTGCCTGGAAGCTGGGGAAGGAGCTGCTCAGGGCTGGCACAAACTTGCTGTATGCCCCTGTGTTTCCTGGGGGAGTGTGCGTTGGGAAAACAGCTCTGGAAATGGGTCACTACTTCCCATGGAATGACTCTGGCCTACATGCTGGTTGCAGTCAGAGGAGTGCCTGCAGCCTGGAACCACACCTGGCTGTTGTACGGGTTGGTTCTGACTGCAGCCATGTCTTGGTGCTCTTCAGATGCACATACGGGTTGGAGGGGTGTCTGCTGCCATCCCTGCTGGTGCTGCGATAGTGATAGTGGGGCCGCCTGCCTGGTGAGGAGGGGCACCGCTGCTCTGACAGATAACATGCAGCTTCCACTGTTGTGTGCTGGCTTTCTATTCAAAATACAGCTGTATGTTTGATCGTATTGACTAGGGCATGAATTTTCTGGGAGTTGAAATGCTTGCCTCACCCTGCCATGGTTGTCTACCGCTGACATTCGCTCACTGAGGTCTGTGAGTGCTGGTGGTGCTGTGGGCCGCCTTGCTCTGTGCAGGAGCTGTGCCTGTGCCTGTCCTGCTCACAGCAGCAGAAGTGCTTCGAGATGGTATTGCAGATCAATACCTGGATGTACCTGAAGACGGCCAAACCAGGCCATTTAACTGTCTGGTGAGACTGAAGAGAAAATACAAACTGCTGTAGAAGTGCTGCTTGTGGTGTGAAATGCTGCCTTCTTCCTTTAGAGCTCTGGCAGTTCTTTCAGATGCATTTTTTTCAAGCTGTGATCAAGTAAGAGGATTGGAGTTAAGTTACTAAAGCTAAATGGGTGTGTGTGTTGCTTTTGCAAAGTGTTGACAAAGCAGCTGTGTGGCTAGCAATGCACATGGCTGCCTGGCACAGCTCATTGCATGCATGCCATGGTTTCTGCTGGTTCTCCTTTCAGTTCTAAAGCTTGAAAGCACAACCTAGTCCTGAAAACACTTAATGACTTTAGACAAAAAGCACATTGTTCCTATGATTCTCTCCCTTCCTCAACCCCATTTTCACCTTAAAGTAAATACCAAAGAGATCATGAAGCTGCATCAGCAGGCTCTGATGCTGGGCATCTGTATGGCTGGCACTTGGGCTGCTGCACATGGGTCTCTGAGATCCATCCAACCGAGTGCAGCAGGTATGAATTGAATGCAGTGACCATTTATTTCATCCTGAGTAAGCGTTCATGTGAAATGAACCAATGCAGTGATAATGTTATTAACAAAGACAGTCCTGTTGTCCCTGGTTTCACTCCTCACTTGCAGAACCGAAGCCGCATCTTGTCTGAGCCAGTCTTTCAATTATTAGTGTATTTGTTAAAATCAAAATCAATAACATAAATCCGGTGAAAACTTTGCCTGACAGTGATGCTTGAATTGACATTTCTCAAAATGTTTCATATGAGCACATTAAAAAAATTTAATAGGCAAAGAACATATAAAGCTATCCTTAGAACAGTAGTTGCATCATGCAATTAATACAGTGCACGCAATGCTATCTTGTAACAGGAGTTTGTCACTTAATACAGGTTCATAACATTGGATGTGAAGGGGACCCAGAATTTTGCTGGAGTGCTTTGGACACTGCTGTCATGAGTTCACCTGTATGCGCATGGATGGGCAGGAAGGTAGGCTGTTAGCAGGCAATAACTTCTCCTGTCCTGCCTGAGCTGGAGCTCCACGTACAAAGTGGCTGTTCCCTGTGTGGCTGCAGCACTAGGGGAGCTGGGCACTGCCGTGTCTGAGAAGGAAGACTGTGCTGGTTGCAAGTGTGCTTGGACTCAGGAATGCTGAACTGCAAGAGTGCTTATTTCCCAGCACTTGAAACAGTACAAATGTATTTTTGCTTGTGAAGCAGATGAGAAGCTTGCTTCTAGTAACATTTGCAGAAGAGAAGACAATTCAAATAAAAACATCAATGAAGATTTGACTGTCAACACTGCATCTGTTAGGTAGGGGTAATGGCAGAAGAAATAATAAAATCTAAAAACAAAGTGCCTATAAGCTATGTTGAAAGGGTACCCTTTGTGTTCTGGAGTCAGTATTCTGTCAGCACTCTGAAGCAGAAATTTGGATGAGGCAGTGTCTGCAGTGATTTGTATAATGAGGGAACACTGCTTCTGTTTTGGAACGTGCAGGCCAGTAGCAGTGGGCTCAGTACTTCAGTGTGTAGCACGGTCCTTGTGATGGATGGCAAACCTGTGCTGCACAGCGGTGTATGGGCTGAGTCCCAGGGCCTCACCTTGAGTGGGCAGTACGGGGAGATCCCAGGGCCTGATGGGCAGTTTCGTATCTCCCAGAGATGCCATCGCCCCATCTGTGGCTGTTTGGATGTTGGATCAGTCTCCTGTTCACCAGGACTTCCCAAGACAAAGTGTGGAGGACTTCTCCCTCATCCTTTGAGTGCTTCCTTGTTCTTGTGGGGTGTCTTTGATCTACGGGATGCTGAAGCTGCGTCGGGAGCTGACATCCACAGGAGCATTAAAATACCCCGGCTTGGCCATGTGAACTAGAGCAAATTAAACCACATGTGCATATTTATTTCTGTAACTTTTTTATAGTCGAAGGATGCAATAGGAAAAGAAGCAACTGTATCTGCTACATAAAAGTACAGACACTGTATTGTGTGTGACGGGGTTTGAGAACAAGCTGTAACAGGTGAAGAAAGACTCTCCTGTTACATGGGCACAGATAAATTTCCTTTTGTGTAGCTTACCTGTTATAAGTATGCCAGTGTTGTGTTACCACCCTGGTAAACACAATGTATTGCCACTGGCAAAAACCTGGTGCTGCATATAGGTGAAATAACAGAATGCTGCATCAGAGGCTTGGGCTGGTGCTTCTGCAGGTCTGTGTGCTTTGTCCGTGTGCAGCTTCAGCAAAAGCAAACAAACACTGTACTCTTTTCAGCCTCAAGTCTATCTTGGCTTAGTTTTTGTTGTCTTTTATATCTCATTCTGTATTACGAAAGCATGACACATCTTTTCCTTTCAGAAATGCAGGAGTATTCTGGTGCGAATAAAAGTTGCAGCTAAATGATTGCTGTTTCTGCAATCTCTCTCTGATCATTCTTAAATCAGTATCTCACTCTGACTTTGGCTGATAATGCCTGGAGCTCATTTCAAGTTGGGGTCAGATCTGGATGTAATGACATCTAAACTGGAGCTCTGCTTCTATTCTGTTGGTTCACAGCGTATAAAGAAGTAATACAGAAACTGACTTGTAGGTGAGAAACTTTTAAAAGATTCGAAGTTGCAGATTTTGTTATATGTACAATTATTTCTTAAGCAAGATTTCTTAATTTGAGTCTTGTTTGCTTCTGAATGGAGAAATAAATTGTAAGATTAAGTGGATAACACTGCACGAAAAGGTCTGGAGGTTAGGAAGCGCCAGGAATTCTGTATTGGACAGTCTGTGGGAGAGCTCTCCTTGCATTTATTTCTGTCGTCTCTCTGATCTGCCTTGCTCTGTCCCGTGTGCACCCCTCCTCTGAGGACAACCTCAGCTTTCAAGTCACGGAAAGTAGTCTGGGAGAAGGGGAGGAAATGAGCTGAGGAGCCAGCAGTGGGGAGGACTGGGGGAAAAATCTACTTTTGCATCCGGCAGGGGTACACTTAAATTACTGACAGCATTTGTGGGATAAAAGGTATAGCTGGAAATGTAAATGGCCTAGATACATCAAAAGCAGAATGTGACTGGGGAGGGTTTGTTGCAGCTGTGTGTGTAGTCACCTAGTTGTAACTCTGATGATGGCCCAGGCCACAAATGATGCATTATTTGGGAGAAAAATAAAGGGTGGGGAGAAGGCTTCTGGGACTCGTGGCTTTCCTGAAACAAAGGAAGAATCATTCATCAGTGGAATAAGGAATTTGAGATGCTGCTTAATTCGGTGGTGATGTTTATACCAGCTCCTCGCCAGAGGCAAAGCAGGAAGACGGTAATTAATTTTGGAAGTCCTCAGAATTTGCTTCAGATGAGTGGTGCAAGCAATGGAGCAAAAATAGCAGTAGTTAGGAAGATTTGCCAGAGAGAATAGAGTATTGAGATTGGGAATGTATTTGTGGAATTAGGGTGTTTTGCAGAGCATAAGAAAGATTTAATTCAGTGGCTGACATGCAGTAGTCAGCTGCTCTAAAACACATTTTCGAGTCTGGGTTGTTGCCTTTGTGCTCTGAGAATGAAGCCCAGAATGCTGTTGAAATACAGGCTGAGGATTTGGCCTATCAAACAATAAATAAAATGAAATATGCAGTAAGAAAGCAAATACACAACAAAGGTGTAAGCAGTGAAGTACAACTTCTATTCAGAATGTGTTTTTGCTCAGAAGTGTGCCAGTTCTGATCACTGCCGCATGTGAGGCTACAAGCTTTTCAAGGGAAGAGCTAACGTTTGTAACCAACCTGTTTTCCTCCTGTCAGACAAAGCTGTGCTAAAGCTTGATGATGTGAAGAGCTAAATGCTGCCCTTGTGGTGAGAGCGCCTTGCTTGGGGTGCTGTGACTGCTGGAGTGGAGCGAGCAGTGGGAGGGGGGGGGTGGCTTGTAGGGAGGGACATAAAGTGCTGCTGTGGGGATACCAAATGCTCCTGCCCATGGGGAGGGCTGGAGAGAGAGAGAGGGAGTGTTATGGGGAAACAGTTACTTGGGACAGTGGCACATCAGGGCATTAAGGGAGCGTTGTTGTTTTTTAACAGAGCATTAAGATACGCATGAGCTGTGGCATATAAAATAAAACCCATCTGAATCACCTCTCCATCCTTCATCCACGTGGTTGCAAAATGAGACTGAAATTGAATTATGTCGGTGGGAGGCCCCAGTTTGTGAATGTCTCTCTTAAATTCCTGTTTCTAAAACAGTTGTTTGCATGATTTGCATAAGCTGTGTATTTTTGAGGCTTGCAGCTGCAGATGGTGCTGCACGATGCATTTGGTTTGGGAAGCTCTGTCTGTGATAAAGAATTGTTTTGAGAATGGTTGCTGCCTTACGGGTGTTGCAGTGGTTGGCAGTAGGTATTTTTTATTCTTATTTCTTTTCCAAGCAGCTTAATTTTTAGATTTAGATGTTCTGTGCTAATGCAGATGTGGAACAATCCTCAGTAGTTTTTCTGCCTCATTGATTTGGGCGCACTTAAACTGGCTTTGGGAAGAGAGTGCCTCAGAACGTTGTGCCTGTTATGTATGTATATCATTTTCTTCAAAATAGAAGGCATACTTCTTTTCTGACTGTTTGCTTAGCTGCTGTGAGGCCTTGGGTCCTGTGGCCGCCTTCTTGGCACCAGGACAATGGGGTGGATGTGTTACAGTCGAGTAGTTAAACGGGAAAAACCTTCTGGTCACTTCTTAAGATTTCTTTTGTTTTCATTCAAAAGGAAAAGAACCAACTGACTTGAAATTGCTGACCAAAAAAGTGATAAAATTGTCAGTGGAGTGTTTAATGGAGAATTATTAAATTCCTGTTCTGCATGCTTTTAAGAATTCCTTTGTAAGTAGTGGAAGCTGATACCCAGGATATGTTCTGTATAAAAAACCTTTTCAGCTGAAGCTTGTTTGTTTGTTAGAAGAAGGACATTCTTCGTGTAGGCAGGATTAAATAATCAACACAGCTCAGTCCTAATTTTGGTACCTGCTAACATTTGGGTGCTTCCCATATAGTAAGTTGCACTTTCCGAGCAGTTGAGAGAGGAGGATCTGCAGAACGCTCACAGCAACAGTCTGCTCTTTCTTGAGCCCAAGGAATTAATTGCCCACGTTAGAACTGCAATGGAAAAAGTGGGTTACTGTCAGGAGGGAAAGGGAAAATCAAGTTTAAACCTTAAGTGCGAGTTCATGCTGGGGAAAGCCCCAGCTGCTCCGGGATGTGATGGTGATCCTTGGTCAGTCCTCTGCTAAGGCCTTTTGACTGTTTTTGGTGGTGTTTGTAGTATGGAGCATGCAGAGGCAGATGGTTGGGGCTCAGAATTAATGTTGCCGGAGTTTAGTGGCTGTTGGGAACATCCAGATCCCGACACTTGTCCTCCTGCACAGTCATTGGATCATGAATGTTGTTGTAGGACATGGAACAGTGCAAGAAACAGGCTGGAAAATGTAACATTAAATAATAGCCTGAAAAACTGCAGGGAGCCATGCCTTTCAGGAACTTGGAAACTGGTGCGAAAGAGAATCTGAAATCTGCACCTTGGAACAAAGCAGCACTTCCTTGTCCAGCTTGTTGGAAGGCATCCCTTATGAGAGAGGAATGGTTCTTGGTTTGCTCTCTGTGGGTGTTAGTTTAAGACAAGTTATTGTTTTATTACATTGAACGTGAATGGTGACATTAACCTGAAGTGTAGACTTCTGATAATAGGAGCTACTTAAAATTGTAGTTTACCATGATGTTTGCTTGCCACATACACAATATTGCCTCCCCACATCCCAACAGCTCCTCGTGCAGTCGTTTTCCATTCTTTTCTTTGTTTCTGGAAGTGAATGGGAATGTTACGTGCTTTATAGAAGTTCACCATGCAGCCACATCAGATTTCTGTGCTCCCGCTGTGTATATCCATCCATTTTTACTCACATTGCAATGAATAAAGAAGTGAGAAAATAGGACCAGTGCTAGCAAATCTGTAATGTAATGATAGAGAAAGGCCAT